GACTCGAAGTTTATCGTCAAGTTTATCGGAGTGGCGTGGTTTCGCAAGGCAGATATGATGCTCGTAGTCGAGTTTATGGACCAAGGCGATTTGAGGAGTAAACTCGAATCGACGACGCCAGACACATTTTCAGTTGAAGACAAACTGAACTGCGCCTTGAGTGTCATGGAAGGGCTCGTGTATTTGCATACCCTGGACAAGTCCATCATCCATCGGGACATCAAGTCGCGCAACGTACTGTTAGACAGCCAAAAGGGCACCAAATTGACGGATTTTGGTGTCTCCCGTGAAAGCACATCGGAAACCATGACCATTGGCATTGGCACGTATCGGTGGATGGCGCCCGAGATCCTCAGCGACAGCCATTACACGTAAGTTAGTTTGGGTATATAAATATGTACAAGAGCTGGTATCTGTTTTGATTCCAGGTATTTATGTTTTTTTTAAAGAGTAGGTCTTTTTGGATTCGAGGTATTTATTAGTCGTAAGAAGGCGGCACTCTGTTGTTTTTGTGAAGTCAAGTCTAACGGACTTGTCGACGAGGTGACATATATAGTGCGGCGGGTGTATGTATCGTCAGTACATTGAGTTATTGGAGTTGAGTTTGTCAATGATATAAATCATGATAAATAGAATTATGGAGCAACCGAGAATTGTATTAGTTTTATTTATCTCTTATGGAACTCTGACAAACAAATCTAAACATATCGGAAACGACTAAATCGTTATAGAGTGTTTGTTTGTTTATATGTTGATTGCCTGGAGGCACATATTCTTGTCCTTGCAATCTGGTTCTACTTATATGTATTTGATTCATAATCAGAAATACTATTATGTATTTGAATTTAATATTGAATCTATTTTACTGAATCATAATTATGTGTTTATATGGTATAATATATTGATTTCAACGTGTCACGCGATGTGTAGGCAAGCGGCCGATATTTATTCGTTCGGGGTGATCTTGTCAGAACTGGACATGCACATTGTACCGTACAGTGACCAAGTGACAACCAAAGGCAACCCAATCAACGACACTTCCATCATGGGGCGAGTCATGCAGGGCACCATCCAGCCGACGTTTTCCGCGCTGTTTCCGCCGGCGTTGCTCGAGTTGGCCAAGGAATGTCTGGCATTCGACCCAGAAGTCCGCCCCACAGCGCTGGCAGTGGCGTACCGCCTCGGCCAAATCCGAAAGATGTGGCGCCAGTCGACTACCTCTGGGTTTGTGTGACAAGGTTGAGAGTAATAATAGCCTGGCTAAAAAAGCAATATGAAAAGTCCGTTTATATATATATATATACGCAAGCGACGTCGAATGAAAATGGTTGGTTTATTCAACAGCGTTGTTCCGTGTGGCGGTTGTTGGTGCATTGCAATTTAATAAAACGAATTGATTTTTTATTTGGGTCTGGGCGGCATCCAATTTGGACATCCGAGGTAGTCGCTAACGTTAACTAATATAAGGCTTTGGGAATGATTCGATTGTTCATTCGTAGTGTAGGAATGGATACAGTACAGTAATACAATGAGAACTGCAGTAGTTACCGCTCTGGACAACCTTGCGACCTTTTGGGGTGTGGAGCTTGGGCGGCTCAACACTCGAAGTCAGCCGCCTTTCACTGGCGCCAGTCCAGCCTAGACATCGCTTGTCGTTGGGTCATACTGTATTGGTGTCTACATATATGGAGACAACTTGTATACTAGTATGGCTCTGGCGATGTAGAAATTGTAAAACCCCTTTCTTGGTAGTATGAAACTATATTACTTTAATCGTATGGCATCGACTAGTGCTTGCTAGGTACCGCGGACGACGGGCGGTAGTTTTCTTGGTGCACACTTGCTTCTCAAAGCCAACAAGATGATGCTACCCGACGAGTTGCCACTTGAACATGGAATCCAGTACCTCGCTTTAACACGACCATAAACTTGTTTCTGGCGAGTGTACTGTATGTGTTGCATTCGGACACTCCTCCCAGCCCGTACAGGGTAACTACAACAACAGTGATTGTCTTCGATTTGTTTACAGGGATCGTATTATTTAGCAGTAATGTTAACGTAAATGACCAATTTATATGATCATCACTGTACCATTTTATGACAGACAAATGGAACCGTAACCAAGAACGCCCGTGGAATTGGTATGTCGACTATGCAGCGAGGTACACAACATGGTGATTCTCAAGTTACGAGGCCACCTTGACTGGAGCGACACAAACTTGTGGACCAGCGGAACCCCAGTACATTTTTAGTGGTAAATTATTGATGCGATATGTAATGGCCAGACGACTCTAGCTCACTTACGGACGTTCGTAGTACGCTCTTCCCGCGTCAGTATTACCGCCCATGCTGCCGTCGCCACCACGCTCTACGCGATCCTCATCCAGGTCATCTATTTGGT